AGGACTCCAACAAACTACCATTTTAGACTTTCAACAGCTAAAGGTTAGAAAAGAGAGTGAGAGTTGTCCGCATCATGAAACTGGCCAAATTCTAAATAGCCTATTATATTATTTTCCTTAGACTCAACAGTGAAGGATTATTCTCCTCAGTGATGTTGTGGACTTTTTTTTTCTTTTTTCTTTTTTTTTTTCCAAAGAAAGGAGATATTGGTGATGAAACATAACCATCAAAAGCAATGAAAAATCAAATTTATAACAAGAGAAACTGAGATCATTCCTGCATAAAACTAAAAACCTAAGGGGAAAAGGTCTTAAAAAACCCATCCCTAAGCCTGCACAAACTTGAGAAAGATGGGCTAACAAAAATCCAAGGCATTTGTTGCCATGGAAAAACAACAGAAATCCTGCAAAGTTTGTTAAACTTGGAATGAAGACAAACCCATACCTTTGGTCCATATATATCAACTATTACAACTGGATCTATCATCCACTCATTTTCCTTTGGTGACTTGACACTAACAAAAAGGAAGACATCATCAGCATATATGGGATACATAAGCAGAAGCTATCAATAAAATTTGCTTATATTACATATGAAAAAATAATCATTAAGTAAAAACATATAATAATCTCAGTTAAAGTAAATATATACTAGAAAATGAACAAGAGCTCAATGTGCACTTCATCACTCCAAAACTTAGATACTGGGTTCAAGACCAAAACCTCTACAATAGCTAAATCCAATCCCAACAACTTCCTGATATACCAAAAGAGAAATAATACATTACAAAACCAACCTTGTGCAGATCAATGGTGCATCCATTTTCTCTAGGATTGCTTGACAAATGGGATCATCGGGGATACGCACACCCACATTTTTCCTTGAAGCATATTTGGCAGTGGTAGTCCCATACCTTATACACTGTTTAGGCAATGCTTTGCTTGCAGTTAAGATGAAAGTATACTGTTTCCACACAAATTCTGTTATTAAAAATTTATCCACTAGAAGGTTTCGTGAACTTATTGTAATTAAAAACCTGCAAGTACTACACAATTTGCTCTCCAAACAAGCACAGGAAACAGAATCAACAATCATCAAGTTGCAGCTGGAAACTGAATTATGCCAAAATAATAATAATAATAATAATGACAAGCATGAAGACTCCTTTATTTGATTTTGAATATTCTCTTTGATGACCATAATGCTCCATCAAAATACCAAACTGGGGAACATACAATAAGCTGGTCGGTCATGAAACCTAAAGCTATTGATATTAGATTTAAAGATGGAGATCTACCACTTGAGAAACCACAACAATATGATGTGTCCTGCTAAAGGTTCCATCATGCATCCATAATAAAAAACAGCATGTTACAACTTTTCTAGTGGTGAGATGCCACTAATGGGTATCCTAAAATTCCTCTACTAAAGATAGCAATGAGATTAAAACCATCTTACAGGCCCAGGCAAGCAACGCTTGACCGCTCGAAATAGATTTGCATGACCTTGTCCATCACCACCAGGGAAACCCATTGTATATGTGTCAATGTCTCGAAAAGAGTGGCATAAGATACTAAGAGGCTGCATAAAATGTAAAAGTCATCAAAAGCAAAAAGGTTAGATGCATCATCCATGGTAAAACAAAAGAGAGCACATCAAGCTTTAATTCTGCACCATCCAAATAGCAGAAACTCAAGCACCACTAAGAATTAGCAAACAGGTTTTGTTCATAGTGTCTTTCAAGATTTTGAAGTAATGATACTTGCCTTTGAGGGTTCTATATTTTTTATTCTGCAATTGAAAATGCAAGACCTATGTCAGCAAGAAATTGACTAGGAAACAACTCGAATCCTAAGGTAGTACAAAAGAAACAACAGTATTTACCTACGAAGATGTTCAATTGCAGAGTCACTTTTCAAATGGCAAACAATTGCATACCTATGAACAAAGAAGGCAGTAACAATCACTGAATGAAAAACTAAGAATCAAAACCCGACAGTTAACTTAACCACACCAACTATAACTGCATAAAAAAATTTCATACACAAAACTCTAGCTTACCACACCATCAAGAATTAGTTTTATCTAACTCTAGACACAAAGTTATAATTACTAGTACTAGTTCATTACAGCTGAACCAAAAGGAAGGAAAGCAGCATACACAGTGTCAGTAGGAATGACACCGACAGCTCCCTCTTTCAGTAGTTGGATCACTGGTTCAAGTT